CCAAGTGCTCTCCCTTTGTGTGAAAAACAGGAAACAAAAAAGTAGAAAATGTAGATTTTCTTTGATTAAATGGCAAATCTCTTCCTCCCTTTTTTTTTAAAGGCAAATCTCAGAGGGAAGGGGGTGGGTGGGGGTGGGAAGAGATTAACCAAAGAACTCGTATGCACATATGCATAATCCTTGGACACAGACTATAGTGTGGGGAAGGCAGGGGAGTGGCGTAGGTGCAGGGAAGAAGGGGTCAACGGGGGTAAAAAGAGGACATCTATAATACTTTCAACAATAAAGATAAATTTAAAAATAAAATGTCCAACTAAAGAAAAAAGGCAAGAGCCAAATACCAACGGTATGCTTTAGAAACCTCCAAACATGACCTGCCAGTGCCTTGGAGAACGCACACAGCTCCCCATTTGTTACGGAGAATCCAGCCTCATGGAAATGAGGCTAATGGCATGCCCCTCGCCCTCACTGCTCCCTGGCACCCAGTCAGTCCCTGCCCCTTTGCGCTTTACATAGAAGGTCCTATTTGCACTCCCACTAAGGGTGGCTTTTGCTTCTCTGCCCATTAGGTGACATTTTGTTGAATGTGAATGGGATTGAACTAACAGAGGTGAGCCGCAGCAAGGCTGTTGCGTTATTGAAAAGCACATCCTCCTCAATGGTCCTTAAAGCTTTGGAAGTCAGACAATGCGAGTCCCAGGAAGAATGCAGCCGCCTAGCAGCCCTGGACTCCAGCCACAGCACGGACCCACCCGGTGACTGGTCCCCCTCCTGGGTCATGTGGCTGGAATTACCACGGTGAGTCCCAATGTGACATCCTTGGGGAGGTGTGGGAGGAAACAACTGTATTTCTAAGACCACTTTTCCACTCTCTTGGGCTGACTCATGGCACCAGCATCTTAATGAACCCCAGGATTCATGAGACTGTTCGAAGTAATTGTAACTGAAAATGCATGCAGAAGTCACAGGGCAGGGACAAGAGCCTGGATGTGGGAACAGTACTAGGCATTCACCATGAGGCGCTCACAGGTCTGCCGCAGTTTTCAGTTGTTCATGCAGCAGGGAGCTCAGGTGATAGGGACAAGAGGCTGAAACCCGGGGTGTCCACGCACCCTGGAGCACAGCACGCTCACCGTTCCCTAATTTGCTAGTGGCACAGCCCTAGGATCTTGCACGAAGGATGACTCCCGGCTGTGGTTTCACCTCTAGCTTTCGGGCGGCCCTGGCTAAACCTAAAGCACCGCAGGACACTTTGCCTTCACCCAGTTTGTGTTGAGAACGCATCTCTCATCTTCTCCCCCTGGTTCCTACTCTTGTGAGGTTCTTGTATGTAACTGCAGGAAGCAGCTGGGTTGTCATCTGAGAGATCTTACAGTAACTCCATTTAATTGTCTCACATAGACACTTCAGGAAAGGGTTCTGGGGGTAGCCTTGCTAAATGGCTGTATACAGAAATTAAATATTCAGGGCACAGATAAACTGGGTTTTGCTCATCTGCATCAGAGCATAAGTTGTTGGCCTTCATAAGATCCTCACTAATTCCAAAGGCATGATTTAAATGTTAAATATTGGAGTCACTGAAGATGATATGCTGGCTAGGATTAAATGAATGAGAGCAGGATGTTTGGTTTTAGTATATTTTTCTTGAGGGTGGAGATAGGTCAGTCTCATTCTTTAAAAAATTTTAAATGAGATTTAAAAAAACATCTCTGACTCAAATATAAACTGTCCTAGATTCCTTCTTGAACCTTCAGTAAATGAGTACAAATTTTAAATGAGTACATTTTTAAATAGCTGAAAACTGAGCATTGAGGCAGTTTAAAAATCTTCAAACATTTTAGAACTGAGCCTAGGTGGAAGAGAGTATTACTTTTATTGTTAAAAAAAACTTGTTTTGAAACCGCAGTCTAATATAGGTCATTTTCTATTTTTTGTGCTCCAAAGCTATTTTGTTATGTAACCAAGGTTCATGTGAAAGAGAACAAAATTGAGCAGCTTTTTACTCCAAATACAAGTGAATGGTTTTCTTTCCCTCTTTTGTCAGTTGGTTGTGGGTAAGCACCTCTTACCAGAAAAATCATCTGGATTTTGCTCATTTCCTTTAAAAGAAGAGAAGAGCATTGTGAAATAGTGTCGGCGAAGACACCATTGGTTTCCAGTCAGCCATCTCCTCTCCTAGCAGTAACTTAATAAGCACAGGACAAAATTCAAAGGGCACTAAAGGGTATAAAGAGAGGGACAGGTGGAGTCTCCCACCCCAATCCCCTCAGATCTGCTCAACAGAGGTCATCTCTGTCACCAGCTCCTTATGTATTTTTCCAGGGGGTATCTATGTCAGGGGATGGCAAACTTTTTCTGAAAAGGGTCAGAGTTTAGGCTTTGTGGGTCATACTTCTCTGTTGCAACTATTCAGTCCTGCTGTGGTGGCATGAAAGTAGCCATAGACAAAACCTAAATGAATGGGTGTGGTTATTTACTTGCAAAAAGAGGTGGCGGGCTGAGCTAGTTTGCTGACCCCTGGCTTATGTATATCTGTACACACACACACACAGTAGTAGCATACACACTATTACGTACCAATGACTTTTTAAAATGTCTAATATACCTTGGGTATCATTTCCTATCAGTACATATCACAAACAATGCCACAGTAAGAATTCATAAGGAATGTAGGGATAGCACCCACTACCAACAAGAACTGGCTCAATTAAGGTCCGTCTGTACAGCCGTGTGCGTTTGCCTGGCTGTATTCTCGGGTCACACTCTGACTTTGTAGGCATCGCATCACTGTGAACTAGCATTGAATTGCGGTGCAGAGCAGTGTGATCTCATTTCTTTCCATCTCCGTGTGGCGTGGTCTTTTCACTTAATGTTCAAAATAACTTATTTGGGTTCTTTTTGTTGTGTTCCACATCTTCCTATTTCTCTCGAGTTCCAACCGTTTCCATTCTTTTCTTTGCTTATTTTAATCTGTCCTTCATATCCCTTGCTGTTTTCAGTAGTATCTTTGTTTTTGTAGCCACTTTTTCTATTTCTCTTCCACTTCTTTCTTCTGTCAGTTCATTTATTCTCATATCTTCCTTGGAATCTTGTATCTCTGCATTGATCTATTTATAGAGTATTTCAGAAGTGCTTTAAATTCACAGTAATATGTTGTTGAAACTGCATTTTCTACAGCAGCATTTCATTTCTATGGCAACATTTTTCTGGTGAGTGGTTGTCTGTTACTGTTATTACTGTTACTTTTCCACTTTTGTAGTGTGTCTGTGCTGATTCTTTTTTAATCGTTGAGTTAGGTAAATGTTTCCTGGAGGAGCTGTTTGCTGGAGGCTTATATTCCAGGTGGCAGGGTTTCTTTACTTCTCCCAAACCACCCAAGATCAGGCTTGCAGGGTCCCTTCCAGAGCCCATCTCTGTCCTACCACAGTGACAGGCTGCTTCCTGTCCACAGGGGTTGTCTGTGTGGGTTATTACTTCACTTACGCCCTTCTTCTCCATCACCAAGGGCCCAGGGATACCCTGCTAACAGCCTGCCTGCCTGTTTCTGGTGTTCCCATGTGGAATGGGTGTTTTGCCTATCAGTGGACCACTCACCATGGCCCTCAGGGCTCTACCGGCTCGGATTGTACTCTCCAGTTGAGGCCATTCCCTCTCCCATGCTTCCTTTGACTTCACTGCCTTTGGAAGTTCTTTCTCATTGAAGATGGAGTTTGCATTTCTATTTTCAAATCTCCTAGTTGCTTATTTAGTAACTTTTTAAAAGTAGAGGGTAGATACAACTAAAATAGGAGTAGGAATATCAATTATGCATTTTCAGTCATGCTACACAACCAGCTGCATAACCTCAGCAGCAAGTAACCACATATATGTATTTATCTCACGAGCCTGTGGGGCTCAGATGATTTGGGCTAGGCTAGGTTGGTCTTGGCTGGCTTACTGAGCAGACCTCTCTGGGTCACTAAGGTGGCTTTGCTGATCTTGGCTGGCAATGCTTATGCATCTACAATTTGGCTGGTTGGGGCAAAAATCCCATTGATGCTCTCATGGCTGAGTCCAGAGCCTGAATAGGAAGACACCACCAAGTTATGCAATCAGGCATAACTTTGAGGCATAAGAGGTAAGGGTGACCACTGAGATCACTCTGCCCCCATAAGGGAGAATGAGGAGATATGACCTGTTTCGAACATGTTGAGTTTGAGATATGAGCGAGACTTCCAAGTTTGATAAACATGTCTAGAGCAGAAACTCCCAAAGTTTTTGTCTCAAGACCCTTATACACATTTACAAAGTACTGATGACCCCAAAGAACGTTTGTTTATATAGGTTATATCTAATGATATTCATCTTGTGAATTAATCTGAAGAATTTTTTACTTATTTAAAATAATAAACCCCATCATATGTTAACGTAACATCTTTTATGAGAAAAGCAGTATTTTAAAAAATTAGACTGGCATTGTATATTTTTTGCAACCTCTTTAATGTTTGGCTTAATATAAGGAGAAAACTGGATTCTCTTACCTACTTCTGTATCCTATCTGTTGCCAGATCACCTATCATGTATTCTCTGGAAAAATGCCACTGTATACTCATAAGAAAATGAGTGAAAAGGCAAATATCATCTTGCTATTATGATAAAAATACTTTTTACTTCCAGACCCTAAAAGGCACATAATTTGAGAACCACACTTTGGTAATGTAGGGGCTCAGTGAAATATTGAGGTCCACTGAAAAGTGGGCTGGAAAGGGGAACCCTTGAAGAACAGCCAGTGAAAGAAAAAATACGTAGCAACCGAAGACTTCACCATACTTATCAGCTCCTTTCAACGGAGTTTATTTTTGAGGTAACCGTAATTTTCTTATTTGGAAAAATTACCAAACTCCTTGCTATTCTTTATACTTCGCAAAATCTTCAATTAGGCTTTGAATGAATTCAGAATAGGAAAAAAGCTCACAAATTTAGTTTAACAAATGTTATCGACCAACACTGTCACTTAACAAAACATTTCACAACAGACTTTTTATTGGTTTTTCAAAAAGCAGTTAATATTTTAAGGTACAGCTTATAAACAAAACAGTATCTTGACTTTTCTGTCAACATGAAACTTAATTTTCTTTCAAACCAGTTTCTGGACTGGGGGATTTTAGAGTCAATTCCAGCTCCTGACATACAATCGCTATCCTAACTGTAACAAAGCCTGCACTTAGCCTGCACCTATGTTAACACTGATCCAACTACCACTAAATAGTAAAACAAATAGTTTCTTCAATCTATATTTCCATTTTAGCTGACTCTACTCATTTACTGAAGACCTGTGGTCTCCTCCCATTCCTTTTATAACCTGCTATTCCATTTACTGCCAGTTTTCTCTCCTATAATATGAATTATCCTTATCTTTAAATGTACAATTTCCATTCACTTTATGCCATGTGTGTCCCTATACCCTTTATAAACATGTAGAACTACATATAAACTAATATTTTTCAAAAATCAAAATTTCAACAAATGCATTAATTAGGATTGTTTAAAAAAAAATTTTCACTCAGATTAATCACTTATTCAAAGAATTTTGCCTTCATTAAAAATATCTACACACCCTGGATGCTATCGCCCAGTTGGTTGGAGTGTTGTCCTGTATACCAGAAGGTGGCGGGTTCAATTCCCAGTCAGGGTACATACCCAGATTGTGGGTTCAGCCCCTGGTCTGGACAGGTATGGGAGTCAACTGACTGATGTTCCTCTCTCTCCCTGCCTTCCTCTCTCTAAGATCAATAATGATTTTAAAAAATTATAAGATTTTATGCAATATGAATTGAGGCATTAAATCTTTTTAAAGCTAATCTTAAAGGTGACTATGATTACCTTTCCCAGTAGACATATAAACAAAACATAATAGATGGTATCATTTTTTAAAGGGTGTTTAACAATGGAAAACAAGTTCAATTAAGAAAAGCCAGGTAACAGCACAAAGGTCAATGGGCTATGACACAATTCTGAGTGAAGTCTATCCAGTGCTATTTACCCTAAAAAATGTCAGTGAAGGAAATGGGAGATGAATCACAATTATTAACTGAGTTCATCCTAACTGCTTATATAGTGATTACATTCTATTTTAGGTACCTGTATAACTGCAAAGATGTTGTATTACGAAGAAACACAGCTGGAAGTCTGGGCTTCTGCATTGTAGGAGGTTATGAAGAATACAATGGGAACAAACCTTTTTTTATCAAATCTATTGTTGAAGGAACACCAGCATACAATGATGGAAGAATCAGGTAATAACAATTTAACAAAAAACTTGCATTCAAATATTTTGTTTTATATATGTAAAAGCTTGGCCCCACTTTAAAAAAGGCATATATTATACCTTTTTTATTGGTAAGAAATTGAACACATTTATGTAGTATTCAATTTCTAAAAAATCCAAAATGATTACTTACTTGGTCCCATATAGCAACGTGCTTTATACATTTAGCATCCCTTCTAATGCAGCTGAATGGATAGAGAGTTTGCAGAATTTAAGTGAGGAGGGGAGAAAAAAAACCTTAATGAGAAGTAATGTAATTAAGTTGATAGATGTAGCAAAAATTAGGACCACCAAACTTGAATTAACTTCTGCTCTGGATCAAAATGTTAATCACATGCCTTGTTTTATTTATTTTTTTAGATGTGGTGATATTCTTCTTGCTGTCAATGGTAGAAGTACATCAGGAATGATACATGCTTGCTTGGCAAGGATGCTGAAAGAACTTAAAGGAAAAATCACTCTTACTATTGTTTCTTGGCCTGGCACTTTTTTATAGAATGATGGGTCATAGAAAAACAGAAAATCACAAATAAGTTAAGTTGAAACAATATATTTATCTTGTCAATTTTTGTATTTAAAGGATACATTATAAAAATGTGAACTTTAATGTCAGCAAAAGTATGATCTAATGAAAGCCAATTACACCTCAGAAAATATAATTCTCAAAACAAACAATTACTAATAGTTTTAATTCAGTGTGGAGGATTTTGTATCACTCTACTTTAGGTTTATATTTTTCTATTTAATAAAAAGCTCTTAAACAGCTGAAATGGTTTGTATGCCCTCAAATGAATTCAAATCATATAATTAAATATCTGGTATATACTGAGGTCTGCAAGGGTACATTATGGGTATTTTAAAAATGCAATGCTGAAAAATGTTCCTTTCACCAAATGAGAAATAAATATTTTTAAATTATAGTTGTCTTTAAGTATGTGATACTAAATTCATTCCTATTATCACTATTAAAAGATCCTAGTAATTCTTTCAGAACCATGTTGTTACCCTGACTGACAAATTCCTTCTAAGGGTTAACCCTGAAAATGCTCACAGAATTATAAACTTGTTTTTTCTTAGATTTAATAGAAAATAACTAAAGCTCTTCTCACTTGTTTTTTTATTCACAATATAGTTAGCATCAAGAAAAACCAAAACAGCTTGACCATGGCTCATGTAGATGGCCACAAGGGAATTCAATTTTGTGTCAGTGATGAGTGCCCAGTGCCTGCTAGAAACTACACTTAGGACAAGTTATTTCACAGAGACCACCCAAATACCATTATTATTTTAGATATAAAAGCTCCCCATTCAATTCACCATGAACCCAATTTAGAACACTGAAAACCTATCAAAAAGTTGTGATATCAAAACTGTACAAGTTCTTTAATATGCTAAGCAACAGTGCCACAGCGTTAACGATAGGAGACTGGTTTTAAGGGCACCCTTGATGCCTTCTGCAGTGTAGCCTCTTGACTAGCATTTGATTAACTCAAGGAAACGATGGCCAAGGTGGGACCTTCATCAGATACTGGTACGTACACAGCTGAACACAGCTCTGAAACTCCCTGCTGAGTGCCTCATTCACATTACTTTCTTGGATATAAAGTCATTGCTATCTTTTTTTCATTTTTTAAATATTACAAAACAAAGATTTTAACTTAACATGAAATATTCACTCTTTTATTTTGGAAAAAAGTTTTTATACTAACAGAAGATTAAAGGTAAATTTCTTAAACATTATCCAGAAAAATAAACAAGATCTGTAGTATCTATTTCTGGCACTAATATACACAAAAGGTTATACCATGCCTATTCTGCAGGTGCAGCTTCGGTGCTCTCCTGTTCAGGGGCAGGCTCACTGCCAGCTTCTTTTCCTTCTTTGCTTCTTTTAGATTTTTTGTGCTTGTGTCTCCTGTGACTGTCTCCTTCTTCACTTTCATGGCGACGTCTACTATTACTAAAAAAAGAAAGGTGTGCTCTTAAAAATAAGTATACAAGTGGTGACAAAAATCAATCTACTTTGTCTAGGTAAATCCTCAATGCTGGGTGTTAAAAAATTTAATCCATTATTTTCCCCAAACACATTTACGGATGTAATCAGTTTTTTGTGTGACTTTTATGCTGAGGTTATATTTACAGTATAGGCTCATCTTCACCAATATTATCCTAGACTTCGAGAGCCCATATACTTCTGAAAGTCAAATTATAAATGAGAAACTGAAGCACTAAATCAAATACTTTCTAGGGTTGATTTTAGGCAAATAGGCATTAAAATTGTGCGTGTGCGCGCATGTGCGTGTGTGTGAGACTACAAAGCCCTGAATTTTCTTTGATTAAACTGCTTTAATAATGTTTATTATTAAAGACTGGTTCGTATGCCAAATTCCCTCCTCTTTACAAGATAATTTAATAAGCCTGTCTTATATGTTATTTTCCATGCTAATTTTGGTTTAATGGTATTAAACACAGTCTTGTTAGATTTAAAAATCTTTGTTGGAGTCTGTAAGGAACCATTTCGACAGATTCTTAATCTTCCAATTAGGAATATATATGCTCTACTGGTTATTGGGACATGTCTTTTACTTCCTGAAGCCAAATCAATTTCTCTCTTAGCTTCAAAGTGATTCATATTTTATTAAAGAACAAACCTTCGAGATGACTTGTGCCTGGTTTCTTCTTTCTCTCTGTGCCGTCTTTCTCTATGTCGTTCTTCTTTCTCTCGACTTGCTCTGTGACGCTCATAGCCTCTTTCTGCATATTCCCTGTACCTGTATCGTTCTTCATCACTGAAATTGGAACAGAAACAACTTTTATTGACAACTCGAATGTTCATACGGAATGATTTAAACTGTAAAAGAAGAGATGTGACCTGAGTCCAAAACAGAAGCACCCACGTTAGCATCTTATATAGATGCAAAATATTTGTTGAACTTAGAGGGAAACAATGCCATTCCCAAATTAGTACTAAATCTAATACAAGAATACAAAGTATGTAATAATTACACATCATGTGAAGGGACCAACTTGTTCTGTGCTTTCACAATTGTTAGAGGGCAGAAATTTTATAAAACAATGCTGTTTTTCTTCAAAACCTGGGAGCTGTAACTCATTTACATTTTAGTCAGCTTTCTTTTCCTTTTAGAATTAAAAATATGTTTGTACATTTCAGATATCCAACCCAAAATCTTAAAATCTGGGGCACACAGTTAAGATTCTAAAAATGTATTTTAAATATTTGGCTCACAATGGCTACACAGTAGAAAGTAGATAAAGGTTCTTAGGTTTTTCAGTCACATCAAGAGCATATTCATCTAATAAAGACGTATAGAAATGAAGGACAGCCCTGGCTGGTGTGGCTCAGTCAGCTGGAGCATTATTCTACACATTGAAAGGTCACAGGTTTGATTCCTGGTCAGGGCACATACCCAGGTTGTGGGTCTGATTCCTGGTTGGGGTGCGTACAGGAGGCAACCGATCGATGCTTCTCTCCCTTTCTCTCTCTAAAATCAATAAATACATATATCCTAGGGTGGAAAAAAAATTTTAAAAAAAAAGAACAGAGGGACTTCAAAGCAACTTCTATAATATCCACACAAAATGCAGGCCAAAAGCTGCCTGTGGACACACTTGCATTCTGATATCCCAACTACTTAATACTGTATGAGTGGTGAAAAAAAAGGGATTCACATGGCTAACAACTTCTAACACATAAACTTAAGCTGCACCTCCATTTTCTGACTTGGTATAGAATGGACTGGTAAAACTGAGTCTGATGGCTACTCTTACTTTACCTCCCTATCCCTGTCCTCTTTTCAGGTCCCTCCAATGACATTCTTCTCTCCATCTTTCTCTCCTAATCCTTCAAGTCTCTTATTTTCTCTTTTTGTTCAGCATAAAAGTCAATACTTTCTATAACCTAGTATCAGTAAACTCACTTAGAAGGAAAATAAACATCTTTTAGAGCACTATGTGCTGAAGAGCCTTCGTTTCTAGAAATATATAAATTATTAAATTAACTTGCCTGAAGCATCAAGGTGTTCAGTGATCTGAGTAGGAGCAATAGACAGAATCAGGTAAATGTATAAACCATATAAGAACAAATCAGCCTGTGGTCTCTCAGCAAAAGTAATGATTCTGTAGCTGAACAAGTTGTTGCTGCTTTGATACATTACATTTTAAAACCACTTTATTAAAACAAAATGTATTAATATAGAAATATATCTGTGTTTCTATATATGTATACATACACACTTTCTTTCCTAACCACAAATACCCACTTTGTATTGGAAGGTGTAAGCATGTCACCTGAAAGGCAATGTGCCATGACAGACAGTGTAGTAGTGGGAAGAGTACAGGCAGTGTAGGCCCAGGATCACATTCTGATTCTACTAACCAAATGTGTGAGCTAGGGTAAATTAACCAACTTCCCTAGGCATCAGTTTTCTCATCTGTAAAATTGGCAACAATCTTCTTCAGGGTTGTTGCAGAACTGGCAATAGCATTTACAAGTGCTTGGTATAAGAGAAGGCCCTCAACAAATGGCAGCAGACATGAGGCTCACCCTCTTTAGTAAACTTAATACTAAATTTTTCAGAAGTGGAATTTTTGTAAAGGTGACTGACCCTGTAATAATGTGTCTGAAACAGAATAAATTAGCACGCACCAGAACAAATGAATATTGTCGTTAATATTATCCTCTTTAAAAATGAAACTGTCTTTCTAATGATTCCAACTGGATTTATATTAAAAGTAAATTATCTCATAATTTGTCATCTGTAACCTTCTCACCCTAACACCAATTCTTGATAGTTTTGAGGCCTTTTAAGATTCTGAAGGCGGCCATATGATGGGACCTTACTACAGGTGGTAGAAGATTTGGTCTCATACACGAAATATCAAGACCCCTTCTTCGAGCCCCTCTTTTGATAAACAGCTGCAGCAAAAAAGTCTCTCTGGGTCTGAAAATCATTAGAGTTTATTCAAATACCCTTGAAGGAACAGACTTCATTCTGGCCCACAATTAAGTGGCCTAGAGACCAGATGTTGAAACTGGTCTGTAATTTTCAAAACAATAACCCTGTAATTTGTGACACAACATATACTACATGCCATATTGTTAAAATATCAGTCTTTTTTTTTTAAAAAAAAAAAAAAGGTCTTTACTTATACTTCACTTGGATTTTCCAGAGAACATTTTAGTCCTGGAATAATTCAAAACAACACAAAATTCCTCCACTTTTTGCCCTGTAGCCTTGAACTTTTAGTCAGATTTAGGTAAACATTGACTTCTGATGCCCTACAGCATAGCAACCTGAAAATTAAATGTGACTTAACCATTAACACTTTAGTTTCAATAAAAATTGAGTATCATCTGTGCATGTGTGTTCGAAATTTAATCAGAAAATTTAGCCTCAAATATTCTATAAGCTTTGTATTATGTTTATTCAAAGAAAATTTATGAGCTCTAGAAAAGCCATTCCTTTTAGTCTTCTTTCCTATCAAGTTTTGCATTAAGCTCTTTGTGAGTATGGACATTCTAGAGATAGCAGTGCTATCTCAAATTTTTTTTACTACATTAGAAACTATTCAACTTTCTAGGAAGTAATACTCTTGAAATTAACAGAATCATGCTGACTTACATGGCTGAAGTTAACAGTACATGTCCCACCTCAGAAATACAAAATATACACTCACACATACACTTATGTATCATACCTTTACTTATTTAGTGAATAAAATTTTATCAGGTGCCTACAAAGCATAAGTCATATTATTAGGAATTATAGGAAGGTAAAAGCTTAATAAATCCTATCTAGTTTCTTACTGCATACTGTTTTAGGTAAAGTTTTAAACTACCAACCAGTCCTAGTCGACAATATTATATGGTTAAATCTGAAAGGGCAGTGTATGAATAGTTCTGTATCCTCAGCACACAGCTCTGTGCCTGGTACATAAGAGAGACTCAGAAAATGTCAATTACATAATGAAAGAATGAACTGCTACTTCCACTTCCCCCCCAAAAGCGGGTGGGATCAAGTGAAGTGCACAAAGAGTAATAAGGAAAATGAGAGAACAATTCTTAAACTACCTAATTTCAAGAGAGGATTTTAAGTAAGATCTCGACCACATTTTGAGTAGAGAGTATGGCTCTATCATTGCCTTATATTTCTTTATGCTTCCATTTCCACATCCAATAAATAGACATTTAGACTAGATAATACCTAAGGACCTTTCGAATTAAGAAGTCTATGATTAGATTACCACAACTAACAAAGCCAATGCTGCTGGAATCAAGCATATGGTCACATCCTGAGTTGATATACTACTTCATCTCATTCAGCCAAATCAGAAAACTGCATATGTATCTTACATTTATCTCATCTCTAAAAATAGGTGGTATAAAAAAGTTACTTTTAACTTATTTCATTCTACATTGTGATGGTACCTAGACTGATACTTTATAAGAAAGATGCCCAAGTTAATGATTTGACTGTGATAAAGGTTGATTTTTGTTCATTTAAAAATCTTTCTAGCTAAAAGTTCCACCAACAGTTTTAAAAATTGTTTTTTCTCTATTGTATTCACCTTTCTCCCTTAAAATATGTAAGTCATTTTAGTCACTGACACATTCATTATGTGCCAGGCATTACTGTACAAAGTGCTGAAGATACAGAAATGAAAAATGGTGGTCAATGCCCTTAAAGAGGCTTACTAAGACATGCTAAAGAAAACACATAAAGTGTTTAGGGAACATGTGAACAAAATTAATTCTTTCAGGTTCAGAGAAGCTCACAGAAGCCAGATGTGAGCTGGACCTTGAAGAATGAATAAAAGTTTGTGAGGCAGAGAGTTAAGAAACAACATGAACAAAGGAAGTACGAAACTATGAAGGATTTCGAGAACAGCAATCAGTCCGGTGTAGCTAGAACATGCAGTGTACTGGCTTGGAAGAGAACTGGGGTTAAAATGTAGAAAGGTACACGACTTCTGACTTGTGGATCATAAGAAGAATTAGGAGTTTATTCTTTACACCAACAGTACATGCCAGTCGCACAGCAGTATATGAATTCTTTCCAATGGCACAGAACGTTTTAGGGAATCAATTACCAGATCCCCAACTTCCATATTCAGTCTTCCTAAATATGAACTGCATAATGATACACCTGTGGTAAAACATCATGCCACTTCTCCAGCTAACTTCTTCTCTAGCAATCGCCCTTCTCGCCCTTTACGAAATAAAGGCATTCCTTTCATCAATTTTACTATGGTACACTGGCTCAGGGTGTAAAAACCATCCTAGCATCAAACAAATCTAATTTATAAGAGTGCCAGTGAGAACTATTTTATTCAAGGAACCATAAAGCATATATGGTGCTTTAGGTTTTCCTATCTTATACATTGTTCCTTTAAGAATGGCCAGGCATGGCTCAGTGGTTGAGCATTGACCTAGGATCCAGGAGATGGGGGTTCGATTCCCGGTCAGGGCACATGCTCGGGTTGCGGGCTCAATCCCCAGTCGGGGGCATGCAGGAGGTAGCCGATCAATGAGACTCTCTCATCTTTGATGTTTCAACGCTCTCTCTCCCCTCTCTCTGAAATCAATAAAGATATATTTAAAAAAAAAAGAAAAAAAAGAATGAAGTATGGAGTAAGAAATGGGATTTCTAACGTCATATATATTATAGTGTGGTGGAAGTCAAGAATTTTCCCTGAACTAGTAAAAGCAAAAACAAAAAATCCCTTTGAAGAAAAGCAGTGTTGGAAGGCAGCACATTATTTTGAGCTCCACAGCTATTTTGTTTATTAGACTTAGGGAATACAGATTAACTCATTTGGCTGAACAGAAAAATGAAGCCAGACTTTTTTCCATTAGAAAATGAACACGATTTGGCTGACTGACTTGATGATGATAGCTGTCTTTTACCAATTAAGTTATATGGTAGCCATAAATGGAATGAAGAAAATCTGCATAGAAATAAATATTTAACACACATAAAGGTATTTAATTTTTTAAAGATTATTTTTGCCAAAATGTATTAACAGAATTTTGGCTTTCCCAAACCTTTCTGAGCATATTAAGTTAAACAATTGGTAGTCTTTTGACAATTCTTGGTAAAACCCTTTTGGTATTCTTTCAAGAAACTGAGAAAATTAAAAACTTAATTACTAAATGAATTGGATTGAATTGTGTCCCCCAAAAAGATATATTCAAGTTCTAATTCCCATGCCTGTGAATATAACCTTATTTGGAAACAGGGTTTTTGCAGGTGTAATCAAGTCAGGATGAGGTCATATTGGATTACGCTGCACCCAAATTCAATGACTGATATTCTTAAAAGAGAGACATTTGGACATAGATACAGAAAGACAAATGCCATGTGAAGACAGAGACAGACTGGAGTGATACATCTATAAATCAAAGAACATCAAGGACTGCTAACAACCACTAGGAGCTAGGAGAGAGGCATGGAACAGATTCTTCCTCAGAGCCTACAGGAAGGAACTGACCCTGCTGAGACCTTGATGATATCAGACTTCTAGCCTCTAGAACTCAAGAGTAAATTTCTGTTGTTCTAGGTTACTAGTTTACAGTACGTTTTTACAACAGTCCTAGGAAACAATTTCACTGAGTAACAAATACTTTTATAAATCAGGTGGTTTCCAATTCTGTGCTCCCAAGAAAATTATATCATGAACTGATAGATTCTTAAAAATAACTTTTGACAATAGGTTAACTATGTGTACTTTTGGCATATCACTAAATCTATAGGTACTCAAATAACTAACAGAGCCACAACAAAATTCCATCAATTCTCACTTATGTATTTTATGTGAACAAGGTTTCTCAGCACTTAGAGATATATATATATTTAAATGAAATATACTTAATGACAGTGTTTTTACCTAACAATGGAAATATTCATTCATAGATACATATATTAATTGGGGATGGGCAGAAGCTCCACCATTACATTAAGAAATGTAGTTCTATTAAATTAGTTTCAGAATTTACAGTGTATTTATATATAAAAATAATTAAAGCCAGAAAAAAATTTAAAAAAAAAAAAGCATATGGTCTTCAGTTTTTTATGCATTTTAACTTACATAAATCTATTGTAGGAAAGATTGAGAGGATGATCAATTTAAAAAGATGGTCTTAGAATAAAAATATTTTACATTGGAATAAAATTCTTTGAGGGAAGTAGCTCAGAAATAAGAATTCAACCACAAAGAAGAAATGTATAATTTCTAGCTGTTAAAGACAGCCTATTTATGAACTTTTAAAAAATAGATAATGATGTTTAGCAAATCACTATAACGTTCTTAACCCACTGGATATATTTAAAAGAGTGATAATTTTATTTTAAAATTTAATGTTTATAATACACTGGAAACTATATATTGACAACTATTTACATTTAAGATGAAAAATTTCAGAAGGCAAGATATGTGAAGGGGTACAAAGTTTTCAAAATTATTTTAAGGGAGAAGTGAACAAACAGATTTGAAGACTGCTGCTTTAGGTCAGGGGTGGGGAACATCTGACCTGAGCGCCTTAGACGGCTGGTGAAATCACTTGGTCTGGCCCTGCCAAGGCAACTGCAGGCAGGAATCGAAATTCAATAAATCTATGAGCTTTTTTGATAGCTAATTTGTAAGCTGATAATTTGTATGGCCCATGAATGATGTTATAAATATCCAAATGGCCCTTGGCAGAAAAAAGGGTCCCCATCCCTCTTTAGGTCATGAGAACCCCTATGAATTAAATAGCCTTTTAAAATGGCTATCCTAAATACTCTTCAAGCAATCCTTTCCCAACTGAATTGGATTTTCCATCCTGTTATCAAATATAAATTCTAAAGTGTACATTAAATACATGTATACAAACTCCCACACACTCAACAAACCTGTTGAAAACACTTGGTGTAGGACTGTGATCACGCTCCCGCTCCCTCTCTCTGGTGCGCTCTCTTTCTCGGTCTCGGTCACGATCTCGGTCTCGGTCTCTATCTCTATCTCTGTCTATATCTCTGTCTTTCTCTCTTCTTGCATAGTAGTCCCACTGCTTGCTGGTGTCCACGAGACTAGGCCATGAAGGAGCAGAACCAGGAAGGTGGGGAAAGGCAACTAAAGAAAAAACAACAACAAAACATAACAATTAAAAACAAAAGTTTTGGTACCTAAAAAAAAAAGAGAAAAAAGCAAAACAAAAACGGACTGGAAAATAAAGACAAAACTCCCACCAAAAGTGCTTCATTAGATTATAATGAAAACTTATTTTATAACTAGAAAAGAGAAATGACAGGGTGAGTACCTACAGATTGGGGGAATGCCTGGAAACAACCCTTAAAGGACCTAACATACAAACACACGCTTCATTCTGCAAGGTGAACAGGAGCCAGAAATAGATACACCATGAACTTCCCCATATAAAAATGTAAGCCAGAACACATTAGGACATCTTCAAAGTATTGAGAAAAAATGATGGCCAACCTAGAAACATGTATTCAACAAATTACAGTTCAAAAATAAGAATACAAAGGCATTCATAGATAGACAAAAAAATAAGCAAATGTTACCATCTATCAGATAGATGTATAATGCATTCTAATAACCACTAAAAAAAAAAAAAAAAAAAAGATTTTATATAGGGAAATAGATAATTTTTTAAAAACCACCAATTCAAAAAAGACTTAGAAAACATGGAGGTAAGGTAGACAAGTTTATTAGCTCAACAATCAGGATAATATAAAAGGGACTGAATTCATCAGTTATAGAAGAGATTTAATTTGTACTTTGAAAAATTCTGATTATTTTCTGAATATAAGACATAACACACAAAATGGTTGCAAGTAAAGGATGTGAGAAAAAAAAGTTAATACCCATCAATCTACTTATGAGTAGTTATATTAATGACGAAGCAGGCTCACACAATAAGGGTTACCTGGGAAAGAAAGGATAACTACATGAAGATGAAAAATGTAACTCACCAAGAAGACAGAGCAAATTAAACTTCCAGGTATCTAACCACATAGCCTTAATTTTTGGAGAGTAAGAGCTAATAGAAATACAAGTAGAAATAGAAAAATCCACAATGATCATGGGAGAATACGATACTTCTCTCAATTATTGTTACTTTAAGCAGACAAAAAAATCACTACAGATATGTAAGATTTGAGCAAAACATTGTTAACAAGATTGATAATGAAAATAACAGAATACTCATTCTTCTCAAGCACATAAGAAACATTCATAAAAATACACTATGTACTTTAAGAGGATAAGTAAAATAAACAATGACCACCATACAATTTAAATTAGCAAAATTTTTAAATTTATGGGGAAATAATCTCCATATATTTCAAATTAAGAACACACTTCCAATAACTCAGGTGTCAAAAAATTTTTTTAAATTATTTAGGAATTGAACAAAAATATCAAACGTCTAGAGATGCAAACTGTTCTGGAGGGAAATTTAATCTTTAAAAACACTACATTAGAAAAGATGATACAAAGCCCATGGTCACAGACAACAGTAATGGTAAAGGCCCAAGGTGGGGGACTGGGCAAAGAAGAAGGGAAAAGGGGAACATCTGTAGTTGTGTCAGCAATAAAAATAAATTCTTTAAAAAAGGGGAGAAGAGATGGAAAATTAATGTGCTAAGCTTCTAACTTAAGAACTTAGAAAAGCACAGAATAATCTAACAGAAGGGCAATAATAAAGATAAAAGAAGAAACCAAGTAAACAGAAAACAACCACACAAAAAAGCAGAAAGCTGGTTTTTGAAGACTAGACAAACAAAACATGACAATCTCTGACAAGATTACAAACGAGTCCACATAAACAGTATCAGAACCAAAAAGGGACCACCACTACAGATGTTGCAGAGATTAAACAATACATAGAATATTACATACTTTATACCAACACATTTAAAAACTTAGCTACAAGACTAATTCTTAAAAATAAATTACCAAACAAAAGTGACTCAAAAATAAAAAGAAATCTTAATCATCTTATAACTATTAAAGATATTAAATCAGTAATTTAAAACCTTCCCATATGATCAGATGGTTTTTACAGGTGAGTTTTTATTAACTTAAAAGCTATAGACGATTCTAGTATTACACAAACTTCCAGAGAATAGGCAAAGATCATTCTCTAACTTATCCCATGTGCCTTGTATAACCTCAATTACTAAAACCAATTAAGGATAGTGCAAATAAAGGGAAAAAAAGTCACAGGTCAATTTACATATTAACTTAGATGTCAAAACCCTAGATAAACCAATATTTTCATAAAAAGTAATCAACCATGACCAAGTTAGATATACGTCAGCAAATAAACAGTGGCTTAATATTAGAAAAATATTAGAAATTTGCCACATTAACAGATTAGAGAACACTATGATCATCTCAGAAAGCACTTGATAAAAATCAATATCCATATAGCTTTTAAACTTGGAAAACTAGAAGAAATTTTCCTTAATCTGATGTAGGTTCTATCAAAAACCTAACAGTAAAGTAGTAAAAATTATAAAAGCAAAAAAAAAAAGGTGTAAGACAAGCACTCCACTTTCAAAACTTTATTATACAGAGGTCTTAGAACAGAGACAAAAAAAAAGGGTGGGGGGACGACACACAAAATAATTATCTTTGGATGATATTACTGCCTGAAGAGACTGGACAAATTATAATGAGAATTCAACAGGTAACTGACTACATGATCAATATATATACAATGATCAATATATGTATATTTCTGTATTTATAGAGATATGCGTAAATAAAACAAAAACCAATTCTATTTCTAAATATAAGCAAACACAAACAGAACACAGAGTTCAAATGAATATACCAGCCCGGCGAGGCGTGGCTCAGCGGTTGAGCATAGACCTAGGATCCAGGAGATCGTAGTTCGATTCCTGGTCAGGGTGCATGCCAGGGTTGCGGGCTCGATCCCCAGTGGGGGGCCTGCAGGAGGCAGCGATCAATGACGATGCTCTCATCATTGATGTTTCTCTCTCTCTCCCCCCCCCCCTTCCTCTCTGAAATCAATAAAAAGATATATTTTTTTAAAAATGAATATACCATTTACAACAACAAAAAGATTAGGTGCCTATGACTAAATCTAACTGAAGGTATGCAAGAAGTGTACGGAGGAAATTATAGAACTTAATTGAAACATTAAAAATTATCTCCTTAAAATGAAGAGTGAGTCCTTGTTCATAGGAGAAATCATGTTGTAAAACATTAATTTTACAACTGATCTAGATATCAGTTGAATTCCAATACTATGGTATAAGTGCAAGGACTCTAAAGCCAGGCTGCATGGTTTCAAATTGTTGACTCTTCCTTGTGTGACAGTGGGGAAATTATTTAACCTGGCTGTTTTTCAATTTCCTAAAATGAAACAGTAACAGTGTGCCTACTTTATAAGGCTTCCAGGAATACATGAGGTAACAGTGTTTGTCATATAATCATAACATAAATGCTAGTTATTAATAAAAATTTCTTTTCTTTTTTTAAAAAAATATATCTTTATTGATTTCAGAGAGAGGAAAGGAGAGGGAGAGAGAGAGATAGAAACATCAATGATGAGTCATTGATCGAGCCCACAACCCGGGCATGTGCCCTGACCAGGAATCGAACCCTGATCACCTGGATCCCAGGTCAACACTCAACTGCTGAGCCATGCTCGGCCGGGCAATCAAAATTTCAACAGTTTTTCATGGAACTTGTAAAGTTGATTCTAAAATGAACATGTAAGAGCAATGGCTCAAGAATACTTCTAAAGCTGAATAAGGTACATTTTGCTGAAACTGAGATTTACTATAAAATTTACATAGAAGATAGTGTGGCATTATTAGCACAAGGATAGCACAGTGGTTAAATAAACCAAATGAATAGTCTGGAAAGCAGAGAAACAGATTTGTGCATATATGGCAACTTGATAAATGAATGGAGATGACACTGTAGGTCCCTCAGGAAGGATAGACTATTCAACAAATTGCACTTGGACAGTTATACCTCTACCCTGAACCCCAATTAAAATGTGGTATGACTTGACATAGTTGATGAAGTATATGATGGTAATTTTAATATATTTACCACTGGTAAGTTCTCCTTGGGGTGGCTGGAGTATTATAATTATCTCTACAGTACACAATATTTACAAAGTCACAATAATGTGAATAAGGTTTATTGTTTAGCTTTTAGAATAAAAAACTTGCCAAGATAATTGACACAGATAATTTTGGTTGGAGGGCAGAATATACTGTTGTAAGTAGGAGTATAGCTGACTAAGGTTGGGAGGCAGAGGGAGAGGAAAAGGTGAAGGCTTAGAAAGATGCACAGAAGTTGTAACTGATGATATAAGAAAAAGAGGGCAGGTATATAAATATAAAGAGGAACAAAAATAATGTTATAATTTCCCTGGTGGGGAAATAGAGTTGAGAATAGTAAGTGAATAAAATACACATTTATCATTGCAGAAAGAAAACACATGATATCTGAAATTATATAAATCAAGAAATAGGGTGATAAGCCTAGGTAGAAATGCCATGCAGATCATCGGAACTAAAAACCATTAAAAATGCTTACGTTCTTCCATGTTCCTGAAAAAATTAAACTAGGTCTTATTTTATGAGCACAATCTTAATCTTAATATGTGTATCAATAAAAGTTAATGCTTCCATCTATAATTAGTAGTATTTAAGGATGAATCACAAAAATTTAAATAAAATACAAAGGTGAAAGGGAACTTAAAAAAGAGGAAGCTATATTTACCATCTTCATTCCAAGGCTTTGTTTGGCTAGAACAAAGAAAACTCCTAACTTCCCTCTACTTAATTCTTGCAATATGTTTTATAATTGTTAGTACTTTAAAAGTCCTTTATTTTTTTAAAAAGTCTCAGACAAGAGTTGGGATGGGAAACAGTGAGCAGAAGACACTTACTTTTGGGATTAAAATTTTGCATATATTACATTAAGAAAAAGTTAAATGCTTAACAAGTGTTTTTTAAAAATGAAATCTTCCATAAGGAAACTGTGTCTGTAACCTCAAGAGTGAAGTCTTATTCTTTCTGATATGAGCTGTTCCTCTGTATTGAAACAAATACACAATGAATTTAATCACAAAGCACAAAATGATAAGTGCTATAAAAGAGGTAAAATTTTTAATTAATTTAATAAGTAATGCTTATCAAGTACTTACATACTACAGGCACTGTGCTTAGCACTTTGTATTCAAACTTTATTTTACAGATGAGAAAAATAATTTAGATTATTTAACTTACCTGAAGTTACTAAGATAAGATGGACCCATGACCCAAACCCAGGCTGTCTAACTGCAGGGCCTGTCTTTAACAATTACGCTACACTGCCTAACAGTGTAAAAAGGGAGGGAACTTGGAGCTTGGTGGGGATAATCATAAATACCACAGCTAATATCTGAGCGTTTATTAAGTGGAAGGACTAAGGTGCTTTAATGTATTCTCATTGAATTTCACCTTATGGGAAAATTTACATTCTCCATTTAATGGTTGATCTACAAAAGTCACATAAACAATGAGAGAGTGAAGCAACATTCCAACCCAATGAGTATGAATTCCTGGGAGCCCAGAATTTCAATAAGGAAAAGAAAAAAAGGTGGTATAATCAATGAAACAAGTCAGTCAACAGAAAGACTACTTTTTGATGTAAATGAATGGCATATGGGTCTGAAGGGCAGTACCACCCTCTGAGATGCCTAGAAGGTATCTCTAAGTACATGACTGATACAGCAGATCTATCACCAAGACTTATAAATTCTACTGGATAAGCCTTTGAACTATTCAGGTTCCTCCACCCCCAATGGTACTGTCTATAAACAGGACATCACAATTTCTCCCCATGGACTACAGTCGTGTGCCGCTTAATGGCAGAGAGAGACATTCTGAGAAATACATTAGGCAATTTTCTTGTGCGAACATCAGAGTGCACTTACACAAACCCAGATGGTACAGCCTATGACATACCTAGGCTATCTGGTATAGCCTATTGCTCCTCCGCTACAAGCCTGTACAGCATGTTACAATACAGAACAAGATAAGATTAAATCAAGCACAAGAGAAAATGAAACAATCATAGATGCAGTAAACACGAGAGGTATGAGGCTGCTGCTGGCATAACATGGCATACTGATTTATAGCAAACCTTTTTTTTTATAAGTAGAAAGAACACACTGTAAAAATAATAAAAAGCATAGTATACTAAACACACAAACCAGTAACACAGTCCTTTGTTATCAAACATCATGTACTGTGCAAAACTGTATGTGCTATACTTTTATATGACTGGCAGCAGAGTAGGTGTATTTACACCAGCATCACCACGAACATGTGAGTAATGCACTACAATGGCTATGACATGACTAGGTGATGGGAATTTTTTAGCTCCATTATAATTTTGTGGGACCACAGTGACATAAATGGTCCAGTCCATCACTGACAAAAGTGTCGTTATGCAGCACATGACTGTACTCCAATAGCTTCTTGTTCTCCCAATCAAGCGCGCATCTCAGCCATTCCCACCTTTCTACCACCCTCAATTTCATCACAGTAGGTAGCCAGAACGACCTTTTCCAAAGTAAATCTAGCAATTTCACAACTCACCATAATACTGAACTGCTCCTCACAGCCCTCTGAATCAGGCTGAAACTGTATAACACTGGTACAAGGACCTGCACGCTCTCTTCTCATCTTTAGGTATTCACCATGCATTCTTTACACTCCAGCCACACCACACCTCTTTTAGTTCATAAAAATCCTACTACATTCTCACCGCCATGTCTTTGAACATGTTTTGAACTCCAAGTCACATCATCTACAGCTCCAGCCCTCTGTAGCGGGACACCCCTTACACTATACTCCCTTGACACCACCTTCTATCACCTGGCTGTTTCCTCACAGGCCTATAAATTTGATAAGGGCAAACTTATGTCTATGCCTAATTTACTGTATCTCTAAAACTTAATACAATGCACAGCACTTTTAAAATAAATGAACAAATGAATAAGGGATCTAAGCAGAAAGTGGTATCAGAAGCCCTTGGAATGGATCAAGTCGTCAAGAGTGAACATGACAGAGGACCTAGCCAAACGATCTAGAAGAAAATATAAACCACTGATGGGGAAATATCAGAACAAGGCTAGTTGGATACTATGAGTCAAAAAACAGAAAGATTACAAACTATGAAGACAGACAATATGGTGTCAAATCCTAAATCCTTTTAGGAAAAGATATGGTATAAATATCCCTGTTATCTCACCATTTGTTAATTTTTAAGTTTGGTTGATAAAGAAAAATTATTCTGTTAAGTAATCTTAAATATATGTAAGACCTAATTACTCCTTTAGTTAATATTTTTAATTGTTCTGTAAGATAGTATTTTAAACTGTGGAAGTATGTTTTTATTGCTATAAAAATATTTTAAGTCCTTTACTGATTCAAATTGAATCTGGTAACTAAAAATACTTACCATTGCCATATGGAAAAGCACGTGCAGAACGACTATCATAACCAGAGGAATGTCCACTGTTGAAGAAAAATGTATTTTTATGTGTTGCAAGTAAGTTCTAAGTTTTAAAAGTTTGGTAAAAAACATAAAGGCAGAATCATGACTTCTTTAACCACAATATAATGATAAGCTTTAATTCTGCAATTTAATTTTTTAATACTAAAAACACAGAATTTTTAACCTCCAAAAACGTTAAACCTAACACCCAGTTTTAAATAACAGCTTGCTAGTACTATTTAACATGAATAATCCAATGAATTCATCTTAACTCACAAGATAACAGAGAAACTTTGAGGCTAACAACATTTAAAACTTAGTTAAAATCTAGTCTTAAAAATATTGGTCTTAATCGTTATAAATCAGAAACTCAGACCCACTGACAGGATCAACAAATAATACTTTTATCATTTTGATTGAGAAAACAAATATATGTTTAAGAAGGACTTAATAAAATTAAATCCTTATGTTCTCGCAATTCACACTACACTGTTTTATCATTTTTGGGGGGGAAATCATATGTATGGTTTGATGCTACTGATATAAGGTTCTCACAATTTTTTTGTCTTTTATATTATTTATATCACTTTTTCAGAAATAAACTACTTTTATAGAGTTTATTTGCCACTTAAACAGAAATAATTATAGCCACCATTAATGATTTCTATCTATCAAGAATTATGCTGATGCTTTATATTTACTGGCTGTTTTAATCTTCACAATTCTATCAAAAGAAGGAACTAAGTCTTAAAAGAAGAAACTAAGTCATTTGGTAAAAGAAGAAACTAAGTCTTAAAGAGTAGTTATGAACTTTGCTTAGCAACACGAAGCTGGTAAATTATGAAGGCAAAATTTGAACCAGGTTTTTGTGATTCCAAAGCCTATGTAGTTAAACACCATATTACCACCCATGAGGTAAATATTCTTTAGTACAGCATTCCAACTAACAAAACCATAAATGCCGGGTATAAAAATAAGGCTATTCCAGGGAGAATACATCCAGTCCTCCATCGTGGAAGATGAGTAGCACAGGGTAGCAAGGATTAAGGCAGCTTTTCTTTACTATGGTCCCTGATAATAGTTGTCCTTACTTAATCCTAAAACATACATGCATTATTCACGATTACTAGTCATCTGTTTGTATTTTCCTCAAAACTGACTATAGTCAATTTTTATCAATTTAGGAGTTTCTTTAATCAGTGTGTCCTAAATCAAAGGAAGAATTTCAAAATACTATCATTTTGTTTTCTTTGTGTTTTGTTACTGGGCTATATAGGTATAACATCTTATATAAAAGTAAACAACACAGACCTAGACTTATTAATTAAAAGGCAAGTACTACTGTTTATAAAATTAAATCTTTGAAGATATTACCAAATATGTATATAATTCTTCTGTCAAAAGTCTATCAATGATTAAAAATTTACAGTATACACAACGATTTACCTTTCTATTGTTGGTATAAGAGATGGAGGTGGAGCACCTGGTGGAGGAGGAAAACCTGAAACATTCAATCATAAGAAAACAAAAAAAGATAAGAGAATGTACATTTAATGGCAAGAGTGAAACAAAGTTGCTGCATATCACTAAATTTTTCTGGGAAATAACATGCTTCTCTATGTTATAATGGACAGAAAAAAATGGAGCTTAAATTATAAACAGATATTGAAGTAATAAAACTTTAAATGAACAGTCTGGTCTAATAACACAGAGCACAAACTGGGAGTCAGGACACCCGGTCTTATTTTCAGCACCACACACAGCCCATTTTATGAGTATGAGAAAGTTAATCTCAATGCCTTACCTTTTCCATATTTAAAACAGTAGTGTTGCCACCAGATATGTTATACTTGAAATATTTTAGAAGAAAAGCAAATAAAATAACATTTACCTCTTTCAAAAAATATTTTGAGAGTTTTAGATGTATAGAAATTAAAATGTATAATTTATAAATAAAATCTTACCAGCAGATATAATAAATGCTTAAGGCTGAGAATATCCATCATAAAATGTTTTAATAGTACAACCCTAAAAAACTATTTTACAAAGAAAGGCACATAATGTAGTTTTGCATTAGTTTGGAAAGAAAATAATTTGTACCTTTATATCATGAAGCCTGCATTCTCAATAATTCACAATACCTAAATGAAATACCATGGAATGTGGCTAAAAGAAACCTTAAGAGTTAATCTACTCTACACTTTCCAATTCAGATAGGCAAAAAGAATCCCAACAAAGACTTTACGATGACACAACTTATACCATTTCCTTCCTAGTTTTAACAACTCTCTCTACTAGGAAATGCTTTAGATTTCTCTCCCTGCAATACATATGGTTCCCGAATGAGGACAAGAAACAATTCATTGTCATATTCTCTAACACCTTCTATATATTAAAAACATTTCCACTAGACCTCCTTTGTAGTGTTCTAGGTAAAAATGAAACCCAGTTCTCTTAACCTTTCTCAATAGTCCAATTAAATCAGTTTTAGCCATTTTTCAAGTTGTTTCAAATACACCATGCTCAACTTCACTGTATCCAGTTTTAGGATTTATAAATCCTCTACTGAACATTTTAGCAGTGTACAGTTTAGCAATTACCACATTAGTCCTTAGAGTCCACAATCCTATTTTATAATACAGTCTTATAATCACATTTCTTTTTAAACTAAAAAGACACACCAATGATTCCTTTATAACTTTTCCTGGTAAGTCTTTTTCAGCTACATTCATAGACAATCAATGACTATCTCACATCTAAATATGTATACTCACCTATATGCTCTCTAAACTCCACTGTTTGTGTTTATCAAGGTCGTTTTCATTTCAGACCCACCCTACAAAGCACTGTCACTTCTCATTCCCTTTATGCTCCTTGGCTTTTAATACTGAAATAAGTTTATACATTTGCTATCATAGTTGTATCACACTACCAAAAAACATAAAAATTGTAAAAAAACAAAATCAAAACAAAACAACAACACTGGGCTACATAAAAACTACTGATCATACCATTGTAAACAATGAACAATTTAATCACCACTCAGAGAACAACCATCTGTCCAGTTATCAATCTACCTAATAGTGTGGTTCAGAACATATAATCTCAGAACATAATACTGAGTTATGTCAGCAGGGTAAAAAAATCAGAAACCATAATAAGGTCAAGATAAATGATCTCTCTTGTTTCTTGCAGTCACTTTATCATATAAAAAGTTCCTTGGTATTTTTTATAAATATTTTATTTTTATCCTATACTCAGTTTTCTTCAACAAATTGATATGGTGAGAATTTTCTCAAAATCTCTATTTCTACAGAAATGGGTAAGACAGGTATAAGAAAACTAATTATCTTAATCAAAACTGGAATGAAGCAAAGGCAGAGCTGAAAATAGGACCTTGAAATCCCAATAGCCTATTCCATATTCTAACTGTATCAACACTGTCCCTCCTGTAACTTATAGGCTTGAAATTTCATGTTTATTAACAATGATGGAGAAAACATGGAAAAAGTTTTACCTGGAGGTGGTACAGTTATTGGAATACCTAAAAAACAAGTGATGAAATTTAATATAGTAATTGGATTTTATAATGTTATGTATTTATGCCATCACCAAAAAAAAAAGACACCTTTGAAATAAAACCCCTCGCCTCATTATCCTGGCTTGTTCACTCAAGAGAAGCATTCTGTTTTCTTGCAGAGGATCAACAATTCAAGTATAACATCTGACTTCCCTGATGAAAACCCAGTCTAACAACTTGATAACAGGTTTCCCCAAGTTGTAATCACAAAGTTAGACACCAGTTAAAAAAGAGCACACTTGTGCATACACAAATATCAAACTCTATGAAAATAGAACTAAGTTTGATAATCAACATCTGATCTTGTTATTTTAACATTTTAATAGGGAAACTGATCAATGGGCTCTTTAATACTGTAGATACTGCAAGGTAACTCTGAAGATGACAGACATTCACTTAGTAAAGCTTTGTGGGACATTCAAGTGTTGATTTGCACTGTTTTACTGTTGTTGACAGGAGTGGGGGAAGGTTATTTCCCTTGATTTGTGGGAGTAGAGAAAGGGAGTATAGCCAATTCATATACATACACCTACAGGGCACATTAAAATAAATGTAACAATTTACTTCTTTAGGAGTCAGAAAATACAAATTTGAGTGACTCTCACTTATTTGCACACATTATAAACTTTAAGAAATAATTCAACTATGTATAGACATTCTTGGTTTACACTGGTCCAATGTGCCCTTAAATCCTAACGTAAAACTTATGTGGCATGCACACTGTAACTACTATTTGTTTGAAGAAAATTGACACTACTAAGTAGGAAAACAGAAAAAAACTATTTCATAAAAATTTTATACCATAAATAACTTCAACAGAGCCAAAATGGTTTACTAAATCCTACCTTAAGAATTATATCAAAATTAGTCCAGAGGAAAAATAATCTAATTCATTAATTAAATGATAGGGGAAAAAACAAAGAAAACAATCTCTTTCAAATGTTTTCTTGTCAACGGGAAATCTGCTAATAATTTAAAATTTTTTCTGTAAGTTTTACCAGAATAGGAGGTTTACATAAAAAGATCTTAAGGCAGTAAGTAGCCTTAAAATGCTTAAAAGCACTTGATTTAACCACCATGAAATAAATGGATATTATAAACTTGCAAAACTAACAAGACTGAAAAAGATATGTAAAGCAGCCATCATCTTTCAAAAATCATTAAGTCTCCATAGTCTACTTAAATTGATCTACACTTAATGGCGATTCTCACCCATCCTATGGTTATCTTGCTGCTTTCTAAATTACTAAGCTATAAGAACCCAGCAAACAATACAAGCCAGAAGAATCCCAAACACCTAAGTAAATGGGCAAAGTAAGAAAGGCAGAACATATTCAATATTCTTAATATCCACTACTATCTGATTTTCTTTAGAACAGTATAGGTTTTTTCCTAGCACTAACAAACTTCACTGTGTAACCTAGTTTTTACTTTTTAACACCTATTTTCTTAGGTGTATAAGACAAAGAACTATACCAAATTTTGGTAACCTACTCTGTAATCCTAATACCTTTACCTAAATCATTTGATCTGGCCCTGCCAAGGCCTCACCAAAGGGAAGCAATTCCAGCCATCACACTAGGGGTGAGTTAATTGAATGTTTGACCAAATATAGTAGGCTAATTTTTAACTTGGTAATTTTGTATGGCCCGAGAATGATGTTATAAATATCCAAATGGCCCTTGGTAGAAAAAAGGTTCCCTACCCCGACCTAAATGAACACATAAGCAGCATATATCAATTTAGCAAATGCTCATGTTCACTACAACTTAACAAAATGTGAATTCATGCAAAATAACTAAGAAATTACTAGGTGGCCCTCTCAAAATTTAGTCCTCAAAAACGTTTAAGTTGTCAAATTTTCACAAAACATAGTGATAAAAGACATATAATCAAATTGTTAAGTATAGTCTTTTAATTTGAATCTTACTACAATAGTATCATAGGACAGATTTTTCAAAAAAAGAACACAAAGAAAAATAATGCTATCTATATAGATGCCTTTCCAATCAGTATCTACACATCAAAAAGTTGGCATGACAGCTAGAAAGGGACATTTTTGTGAGGCCTCTATTCCACCTAAGATATTTCAATGCAAAACTTTATTGGTAAATGTCCACTGAAACTTAACTATAAAGTTGATTAAACACTATACAATCAATTCTTTGACAATTATCAAATGTATTTTCAATGTAACTAAGAAAGTTTAATATGTGACATAATGTTAAGCCAACATAATTCTCATCTACAAATAACTATTTAGCACTTGACTTTTGTTAAAAGAGAAATAGTGTAAGGAAAGAAAAAATTCATCTCAAAAATCCCTATGCTCTTCCTCAATACTCCTACCTTCCTGGCCAACACATGTGCTGCCTAGCCAACAGACTTGAAATACACAAGGCAAGTACTGCGTTTCTTCTATGTATCCTTTATCTGTAAAATGAGTAGGGGGAAAAATGTTTTATTTTCCTGGAAAGCCTTGTATAACAGTAGTAAAAGTTAAATTTCTAGTACTGGCCAAAAGCTTTTAGAAAAATAATGTTCACATTCTAACGGACCTGAATAAATTAATGGTTTTGGAATTTCAGCACCACCTGGAGAGTTTGTTAAAACAGATTGCTGAGTCCCTGCCCCAGAATTTCTGATTCAGTAAGTCTGGAGTGGGGCCAGAGAATTTGCATTCCTAACAAGTAGAGATGAGGATGATGCTGCTGATCAAAAACCATATTTTGAAAATCACTGGATTAGATTCTAAACTTCTCTTTTGTACTACTGAACACCTAAACACAGACAAAATAAATTCCATCACAAATTTTTATGAAACAAACAAAGCATGTGACACTGAAGTAAAATAGTACAGCTGTATGACAGACAGCCTATACTACCTGGCATCTTCAAAAGAAAAAGGAGAGAATTCAATT